TAACAAGAGTATTATATTTTTCTCTTAACAATTCAGCTTTCCTTGGTGTCCACTAAATATTCATCCTAATTTTGATACCTGGCTCACACTTTATTTAGACAGTAGTGGAGAGTCATCTTAATATTTCTGGTTACAAATCCTTTGCATCATGGCAGCAATCTCTAGTCCAGCTGAAGCTTTAGTCAATAAAACCATCATATATAATGACAGTGTTTTCTTTAAGAAACTTCTGAGATAGCTTCAAGTATAAATATATTTTTCTTTTTTTTATTCGAGGGGATGTTTGGGGCCACCCTGGAAGTACTCAGGGACTACTCTTAGCTCTGCTAGGAGCTATTCCTAGAAGTGCTCAGAGAACCACATGCAGTACCAGGGATTAAATCAGGGTTGGCCACATGCAAGGCAAGAAACAACTCTTAACTACCTCTCTAGATTTCAAGGATTAAGATCTTAAAATACATAAACTTGCTTGAAATAGACTTGACTCAATTTAACCATGGCTGTGATCCTTCTCAGGATTAGACTAGAATGAACAGGGTCATAGAATTAAGTGTGGCTACCTGTGTAGCAAGTTTTAAGAGACACTAATGAAGTCCAAAAAAACAAGTCATTTGGTTTTAGCTTTTAGCTTCATTTTAGCTTCATTTATTTGGCTCTTGAAGACATTTTCTTACCCATTTTTTTATTATTTTTTAAAATTTAATGTCACAATGTCAGAAATTATTACCAATTGATAATGACATTGCACACAATATCTGGGTCTATATGATAGACCCATCTCAGGTGAGATGAAACTGTGGAAAAAGATGAAATCAAGAGAAAGAAGGTATAGAGGCACCAAATTTTACTTCCCACCAATTATAGCTTTGAATTATTTAAGATTGCAGGAAAAAAATATTACTTTGTGACAATTTTGATGCTGATTTTCAACTTTCATGCAAAAATTTTGGTTCATCATCTGCAATCATGAGACAATATATGGATTCATTTTCTATTGTGCATAGACTATAGGAAGAGGTTACTGGTATACCTCCAAGACTATACAAAAATAAAATTGCCTATTTCAAATGTTTCAAGTTTGCTTTATGTTGCTTAATGACCCAATACTTTTTAATCACCTCTTGCTGTGAAACTGGGTGAAATATTTTTAGTGGCTTCTAGTCAATAAATATCCTATCTGGGTTGGAAATAAAGTTTTAAGTTTTTATTATAAAATGGACATGCAAAACATGGATATAAAATGAATACATGCCTAATAAATATTTAAAATGTAACTTCCAATTGGATTAACAGGAGGTATTTTGGGCATTCCAGAAATCCACAATAATCACAATCACAGATATCTCTCATATTAACTCCTTGTGTCACATAAGTGAAGACAATTTCCTTGATGTTTTTCCTTTTTATTATCTCTTATGTGAACACTCTTCCTCAACATATAATTTTCTTGCTTAATTTTTGTTTAAGTTTTACCTCCAATATATGTATTCCCTAGATAATGACATATAATTTTGCTTCTTCCAGTAATATAAAAATCGAGTCTTGGTCTGTACTCTTCTATTCTTTCATCTTTTGCATAAAGCCACGTTTTTTAGGATTTATCCTTGATATCACATGTATCTACTTTTTTTTCTATTTTTATTTTTTCATGCTTGCATAGGTCAGAGCGATAGCATAGCGGGTAGGGCGTTTGCCTTGCACGCAGCTGACTCGGGTTCAATTCCTCTGCCCCTTTCGGATAGCCTGGCAAGCTACCGAGAATATTCTACCCACACGGCAAAGCCTGGCAATCTCCCGTGACATATTCAATATGCCAAAACCAGTAACAACGAAGTCTTACAATGGAGACATTACTGGTGCCCATTTGAGCAAATAGATGAACAGAAGGACAGTGCTATTTTTGTATGATATTACAGTAGATTCTGAAATTTTAATTTATTCTCCTATGGATAGACATGAGGCTGTGTCTCAGGTTTTAGCTGTTATGAACAAAGATGCCAAATAACCTGTTGAGGTCTTTAATGCATATATTCTTAGTTTGTATTTATTTATTTATTTGCTTTTGGGGTCACACCCAGTGATCATCAGGGGTTACTCCTGGCTCTGCACTCAGGAATAACTCCTGGAGGTACTTGGGGGACCATATGGGATGCCAGGGATCGAACCCGGGTTGGCTGTGTGCAAGGCAGATGCCCTACTCATTATACTAGCACTCTGGCCCCCAAAGCGTAAGTTCTTAAGTATCTCCATGAATATATAAATACCTGGAAATGCTAGCCAAAGCATACAGAAATCAATTGTAGTCTATTAAAAAAAACTTTTCTCAACGTGATTGTTCTAATATACAAATAGGAAATTTATAAATTTGGAGGTAAGTACTCCATTTTACACTTCCCAAGGGACTTCTTACTTCCAGAACCAGACCTCACAAAGCCCAGGGGCTTTGTAAGCAATACTCAGCATTAACCATAAATTATGTGGTGCTGTAGTTCAAAGTTAGGTCCCAATATATGCAAATAATGTACTCTTAATTATTGAGCTCTCTCTTGTTCCCAGGTTCTTAATTTCAGAAATCTGGTACATAGCATATAATGATAAAGAGGAGCACTTTTCCTCACTGTCATTTCTATTTGAAAAATACTAATAAGATTTGGAACACCTTCATGTATTTACTGGCACTCTGGACTTGGTATTTAGGGGTTGTTCATGCTGAACATCTCATGTCATAACTAATAACATATACAAGAAGCAAAAGAAACTGAACATGTTTTATGAACATTAGTTGGGGTCTGGGCAAACCAATGCACATTTTCCTATTAAATTCATATGCTAACTTTACTCACTTATGTTATTAACCCTGTTGTGTAAGCACTGATGTCAGACCAGCAGTTAAATTCCACACATATATCTCCAAAACCTAATTATTCCTTCCAACAATTTTGTTTCACCCAAAAAACAACCTCTGTAAGAATAAATAAATGATACATTTTATTTGATAAAATTATTATTTTACAAAGTATGCCAATGGAGCGATAGCACAGCGGGTAGTGTGTTTGCCTTGCACACGGCCTACCCGTATTCGAATCCCAGCATCCCATATGGTCCCCTGACTACTGCCAGGAGCAATTCCTGAGTGCAGAGCCAGGAGTAACCCCTGAGCATAGCTGGGTGTGACCCAAAAAGCAAAAAAAAAAAATCACAAGTATGCCAAGACAGAAAATAAATTGACAGAGGTAGAAAGCTGGGGGATGGTTGAATTTGTGAAGGGGATCAAGAGGTATAGTTATCCAGACACAAAATAAACATGCCTAGGAAATATCATGTATAACCTGGCACTATAATCACTGCAGTACTAAAACTTTGCAATTTTCTCAAAAAAGTGCTATATTTTTATAATCATTGTACAATATATATAAATTTGTACACATGAATCTCAAAGATTGTATGACTATTAAACTTCAGTGGGAAAGAAAAGAACCATAACAAAGAGTTTTCAAAGGTAATGTGGTTAATATGAATAATTAAATCACTGCATTCTTAGGCCACTTTTCCCCTCAACACTCAAAAATCAAATTTATTAACATTAAACAAATGAAAGTCTTTGATATTTGGAGGAATTTTTCTCATGAGAGTAATTTGTGAGATACTTCAGTCACATGTTTCATTTACTGCCTGTGACAGGCACTTGAGAAATGATTAAGATGATCTAATGGAGCTATAGACTATAACATGACAGCCAGAAATAAAAGTAACAAAAGATGAGAATAAGACAAACTATTATCTAAGAACTACATTTTTATGTAGGTAATCAATTTATTAGGACACTCAATGAATCCAAGCAACAGATATTCAAAAAAATGAATTTAAAACCAATTAAAGGATAAACATCAAGCAAAGCTTCTAAGAATTTATGATATTAATGGTGCCTATTTTCCCTTTTTAACCATAAAAGTTTAATGAAAAGCCTATAAATCCTATAGATATAAAAACAATTTTCAAAAAATCAAATTAACCAGAAGCAATGACTCGGGTATAATATTGCCTATAAAAGGAGGTGAACCATCTTTCAGTATCCTTCCCAGGATACCAAAAACTAGCTCTCAGGACAGAAAAAGCATTCTGTGCATCTTTGGAATCTCTATCAAATGACCTATTTACAGGATATAACCCTAAACTCTACCCAGAGATAAACACACACACAGATAATATACATCATTGTCTTCAAAAATTTCCATAGGTTTGAACTTTGAATTTTTGAATATTGATCTCACATTCAAACCACTCCATAAAAGTAAAAATTGTCAGTACAATTTTTATTAACCACTACTAGACAGATGATACATTTCATGAGATTCATTCCTTCTAACTTCATGGTACAAATCCTTGTTAGCAAAGTCTACTTTCATATTGTCAAGCTCCCACCTTAACTCATGTTACCAAAAGGCTACAATGAATTCTAAGTTCAGTGACTATAGGATTTAAATTATTTTAACCCTTTTTAATTTCAAAACACTTTAAATCCCATTGTCTCTACTGTCACTGAGAATTTTTAAATTAGCATGGCCTTTTCTGATCCAGATTTAAGGATTACAGAATTTTAAAATGCATACATGTTTCTCTGCTCATCCACAAAGACCTGTCCCCAACCAGTTGACCTTCAAAAAATATAGCCAGTCATTTCTCCAGCTATTCAGTGCTAATCAGAGTTTCTAGATGGGAAGATATGTATGTTATGCCACAACCCCCCCTCCCCCAGGAAAACAGGTAATTGCTTCCTCAAATCCACATGAAGCCAACGATTCAGAAGATTTCACATAGATGGTGCAGCAGCCTTTACACATGGGTCAGTAGACAGTTAAGAAAAAGAAAGCAGAAAATGTCAGGGACCCATTGAAGCTGGGTAGGACAGAGAAAGTTCTGTGATTGAAAGCCAACTTGCTTATAAAGAAAATTGTTACCATGACAACCCTCAAATCCTAGAAAATCCTCAGAGGTCTTACCTCTTGCGTTCTCACATTTATGTATCCATAGTGTGTTCGAAGGGGCTGCCTATATGTGTAGGAGAATGGTATCCATTTTGCACCAGGTTGTCCAAAGCAGTTTAGCAGCAATGGGAAATTCACTTCATTTACTAGGCGCACAACCAGCAGGAAGAGGAATGCTGCTACAAAGCCCACTGCAATTGCAGACTTTCTCTAGAAAACATTAAAAAAAAATAGAGAATGAATGACTTTTATCCAAAAGCAATCTCAGGGAGGTTCCTTTATTTCTCTCTCTTTTTCTTTCAAAAGAATCAAATAACTCAGTCATTTAAACTATTTATTTCTCTTCAACAAAGTAAATAACCATTTGGTAACCAGGTTGCCTTTGTGTGGGGCCTCTGAAAGGAAGCAGAGCAACTCCTTTGGATGATCTTCCTACTTCCTTCCAACCCTTTCTTACCTTTCTACCATTTTTGGAAACTATTCAGTTTTCAAAGCCCAGTTCAGATTCCTAAGAAAAGGCTATCCTTAACTTCTCAATTCCTTTCCCTCCACCTCTCTATTCATCCTAAAAGAAATAAGTCATCCCACCACCCCCAGATCTTGAAGGTGATTTCTAGTGCTCTCCTTTATATTTGTGATTACTTGTGACATTTCTATGTAATATTGACTTTCTGGGAAACCCCAGTATCATGCTTTATAGTAAACTCTTTATCTCAAGTCAGTTTTACAACCCTTTCTTTACCATATTCTGGGCATCCAACAAAACATTTGAATAAACGCATGCTTTCATGGATGAATAAGTGAATGGATGTTTCTCAATCTTGTAAACACACAACATCAATCATTCTTTGAATTCTTCTTGAGCACTTTCCAAATCAACAACTTGGTCTGTGCTATAGAAATGCAAAAGTAAGTTTCAAAGCTGAAAAAAATTCCTTTCCAGGTAACATAAATGCCTAAATATGTTGCCATGAAACAATGAAAGGAGCAGGAGTGACTGCATTTGAGTGACATGGAAAAAAGCAGAGATTATTCTGAGATTGAGTTTGGTATTTTGTCACTTGTCCCTTGTCCCTTGACATCCTGTTGTTCATCGATTTGCTTGAGTGGGCACCAGTAACGTCTCCATTCATCCCTGTTGCGTGATAGTGTAGACCATTGGCATACTGAAAGCTCTTTCAGGGTCAGGGGAATGAGATCCGTTATTATTACTGTTTTTGGCATATCAAATACGTCACAGGTAGCTTGCCAGGCTCTGCCATTGGTATTTTACAGGGTTTTTAATTGGTAAAGATCAATAGCAGAACTTTCAAAAGAAAGGGAATAAACAAGAAAACCAAAGAAGAAGTGTGGGTATTGTTTTTTGGGGGGATTTTATCTGTTTTTTTTTCATACTCTCATAGCTCTGTCTTGATTAGGATATAGAGAAGGAGAAAAAGCCAGAGTCACAGATTCCATTTCCATAGTGAACTACTTCAGGTGCAAAGCTGAAGTGTCTACTGAGTTTGATAAGTAGTTGAAAACACAAGAGGTTTTGTTTTGCTTGTTTCAGGTAATGGGTATGAGTTATAATGAAACATCTGTAGTTAAGGAGCTTTGAAAAGGGTGAAATTAAAGGCAGACAGCAATGAGTTAAGAAGCTCTTCTAACTGACCTGAGATAATGAGACATGATGACTGGAGTAGTCTCTGGGGAATATACAGATGGGAAATGACTTGAGAAATTCAATTTAGACCCAAAAAAAGCTACTGATGGGTAGAGGTTGCAGACAGAAAAATCAAAGATGCTTAAGACTTTGGGTGTGTAAAACTGCAATAGTACTAATCCTTTCAGAAGAAACTAGAACAGTCAAAACAGAAATTGATTGAAGAGAGTAAACAGAGTCAAAGGTTAGTTTTTCACAGACTGATTGGTTAACTGGAGCCACCACTAAGGAATCAGGGGGAATGTCAAGGGTAAAGCAAAAAAGCAAAAGCAAAGCTCAGGACATATTATAGGACAATGCTGCCTTCAAGTCCAAGTCCAGACTATGGGCAATGAACTATGCCTCCATGAAGTTGGCACACCCCTGATTCTTCTTCAAACTTATAGGGAGCCACATAACTTTCTAAAAACAACTGAATGTTTGTGGTTACTAATGCTATTTTTGGCTTGCCACTTCATAGTAAAATAAGCTTATTTTTTTGCTCTATCTACAATGTTGCAAAGGAGAAAAGAAAATCAAAAGCCATCCCCTATGTCCTCCTGGGCCCACATGTCACAGTCTCTGAAAGAATGATAGAACAAGACTCCCGTAAGTCAGGGACACCAAAAGATTCTTTGCTCTTTCTCAGCCTCTGGAATTTGTCAACGCTCCATCGCACTGTCTAGTAGGCTAAATTTTCCAATCACCTGAAAGTCCCTGGAGTTCTGCCTCCTCAAAGCCCCTTATCTCAGCAATAACTACCACAGCCTTACCTCATTTAACCTTCTAATCATGAAAAACCATTTTAATTTGCTCCTCTATGGAATCATTATGTCCACAACACTGCAATGTGTCAAGGTAACAGCTTAAATGAAGTGATGGATCTTACAAGTTTAAAGGGACACAGACCAGAACAGATGGCTAAATAAAAGCAAAGAGGCCAGTCACCCATTAAGTAAACAGGCAAGTATCTTTTTTCTTTCTTTCTCTCTCTCTCTCTCTCTCTCTCTCTCTCTCTCTCTCTCTCTCTCTCTCTCTCTCTCTCTCTCTCTCTCTCTCTCTCACCATCAGGTAGCTTGTTGCAAAGGAGCCGCCTGCTTTGAAGGAGACCAAGATGGAATCTGTGCTTTTGTATATTTCCAGAACCCAGCAGGTTTCTCTGGTTCTCTTGGCTTCTATGTCGCATTACATGACTTATGGTTTGGGGACAAAGGCATGGTGAGCCTTTCTCAATTCTCTGATGGCACGTAGCAGCACATACATAATGCATACATGGGAGAAAAATAAATCAACCACTTTGAGAGAAACTTCAAAATGAAATGAAATCACACTTGTAAAAGCCTGCTCCCTAGCAATCCATGTCTGCTTCCTATGTTCTATCAAAGTAAAAAAAGTAATGAGCACAGAGAAGATGAGAGAAGCAAATGCAGAGAGGAAGCCAGGTCTCACCGGCAATACTATTCTGTAGTGGCTAGAGGTGTCCCTTTCATGGCTCAGCCTTCCAGTCTAAGTTCTTTTACATTGCCTGGGTCCAGTACTCTGCCGTTTTTTTTTTTTTCACATTTTCCTGTTTTTTAAACATGAAAGTATTCTTAGAGTCCTCATATAAAACCATCCTGAAATTTCACTAGAGAAGGTAGAAGTTCAAGCATATTGTGTACTCCCAGCACCAAGGACAACCAAATTCAACATGAATGTGAATTATTCCAGTAGTCACTTGTGCCAGTCTGTAGTCCTGAGCATCAGTTAATACAACAAAAACCATGGGGCAAACATTTAAAGTACCAGAATGCAATAAGAATATGTGTGTTTGTTTTTGTCGTGGAGGTGCGGAAATTGTGGAACACAGTACTGACACATATGATCTATATGAATACTTTCAAGACACAATTGCTCACTGAGTTCATACTCAGTTCAGACATGGCAAGGTGGCAAAAATCAGAAATGAAACCATGTGACACAACCTTTTCCCCAAAGCATACAACTTAGTATAACTAGTATATAACAGAAAAATGTCACATCACGTGGAGAAATAGAAATATATGCACAAGGTACATACACAGGGGGCTGGAGCGATAGCACAGTGGGTAGGGCGTTTGCCTTGCAAGTAGCAACATGGCTGACTCGAGTTCGATTCCTCCGCCCCTCTCGGAGAGCCTGGCAAGCTACCAAGAGTATCTCGCCCTCATGGCAAAGCCTGGCAAGCTACCTGTGATGTATTTCATATGCCAAACACTGTAACAATTATCACAATGAGATGTGACTGGGCCCGCTCGAGCAAATCGATGAACAACGGGAGGACAGTGACAGTGACAGTGACATCCACAGGAAAATGAGAGGAGGGTTCTCTGAGGGACAATTCAGGGAAATTGATTGTCAAGAGAGTCAGGAAACATTAGTTAAATGGACATAGGAAGGGCCTTACAGGCAAAGGGTACAGCAAGGCTAAGAAACAAAGTGATGGAGAGTCATAGGCATGTTTTGTTGGGAGGAGGCAGTAAATTTATACATTAATGCCATATTACCTTATTTATGTCATCTAATTATGATCATCATTGTCATCACTGTCATTCCATTCACTGATTAACTGAGCAGGCGCCAGTAACATCTCCATTCATCACAGTTCTGAGATTTTAGCAGACTTACCTTACTCATTTTTCCCAATGCTGCGTATTTGAGGATCTTTCAGGGTCAGGGGAATGAGACCGGTTATTGTTACTGTTTTTGGCATGTCAAATATGCCACAGGTAGCTTACTGGGCTCTCTGAGAGGCATATATATATATATACATATATATATATTTATTTATTTCGCTCTATGATTTGTTGCCTACTGTCTGAACCCCATCAAATATGGTGCAGCCCTCCCTTAATTATGATAAAATAAATAAAAATTTAAATCCTTAATTTGTTCAGAAACCTGAGAGGGAATACAAACAGTAGCGGAACTTCTAGAAGAAGATGCTATAGAAGGAATTCAAATCATAAAACCAAAATTAAGCAAAACATGATGCCAGAAGAATAATCTTCCCCTTTACCTTACACTAGGGCAATTAATTAAATGAAAAATGCAAAAAAAAAATCCTTAGAATTCTAAAATATGTTTCACTTTCCAATCAAGTGAACATATGACAATCACTTCATTTTATTGAAATTGCCACTTGACACTCTCACAATGCCTTATTCAAATTGCTGAGTTCAGTTTATTCTATTTTGGCATACTAGTATTTGTTTTGATTTTCCATCAACACTCAGCACAAAGTTATACTCTACCTGTTTACACATGTATTCTGTTGTAAAAATCTGTTTATGGAAAGGATCATTGCCACCTTTATTATAGCAATCAGATCACCCCCTAGATTCAACAACTAACAATTAGGTTAAAAAAACCATAAGTACTGTCAAGTTATAATGCATAAAACTCAGTTGCACAAACTTTTCATACTGCATAAAGCAGACATGAATTTAATAAGCCATTCCCCTAAGATCAGAAACGTGAATGGAATGAAAATGGGTGGATTTTTTGA